AAGAGACACCCGCCCCCCCCCCCCCCCCCCCCCAAAATGACCCCAAATTTCAACCTCCAATAAAGTGGTTTAATAGTTGGGGTTTTTTTAGTCAACATTTCAGAGTAACTATTTTAGTTTTAAACAATACTTAGAATTTTACCACTCAAAATTTACTCAGTTATGCATATCCCTATGATTCATAAGTTGAAAATCAAGGGCCCAATTAAATGCTCAGTCAAAATACAAATCCAAAGCAAACAAAGAAATATGTCACACAGAAAGTGAAAGATATTAAGTGTTTAAAAGAAGGCAGGCTATCAATCTAATTTCTGTTCTTTCTTCCCATTAAATAAACTGTTACAAAAGTAAAAAAGAGATTCCACTGATGTTATCTAGGAGAGTGTGTCTCAACAAATAATCAAAGGTCCCTTTGTGGGCAAGTTATAAAAGAACTGAGAAATTAAGAGCATTATTTTATACCTGCTATGCCCAGATGTACTACTTTTAAATTTTCTCCGCCTTTCCTGTCTTCCTGCAAAGGCTCAGGTTCTCCCGCAATTGCTATAGACATTGCTGTGGAAGGAGGCCTGCAAGAAAGAGGTGGTTAAGATTTGCTGTACTTCTGCTGCAGTCCCTGCAAACTGGTCAGCACAGATTTCTCTTTTCAAGTAAGTCTGCATAATTCATACTGTGCTTCAAGTTAACAGGCTTGTAATTGTTCTCTGAAAACACGCTGCCTAGCCCCCTGTTAAAGAGAAGGGGAAAAAAAAAAGAAAAGCTTATGCTATTGAGCTTCAGGACATTTTACAGAATCCATCTGCTTCAGGCTTCTGGGCATGCTTGGAAAGACTTTTCCTTTTTTGATGATTGGCAGAGTGGTATGTGTTTATCATCATCCCAAGACCCCAAAGGATATTTAATTAAAATGGATAAACCTCTAAGTTTGTGCTTTGCTAGTGTAAAAGAAACTAATTAAAAACTGACGAAGTGAAAGTAATCTTTTGCAAGCAAATACAACTAAAATACATTTCAAGGTGTTACCTACACTTTTTTCAATGCTTTGTTATTGTTGACTTTGGGAACAGACTGTTGGTCTGCATACAAATGGGTATTTGTTGACATTTTTGGATTGGACATACTCAATAAATTAGTTACTGTCTTTATGTACAGTAACACATCCCCTCTTATGCTACGTTTGAAAGTAGAGAGAGAAAGAGAAAAAAGCACTTCTGGAAACATAATGCCTGTGTGGCTTGACTGCCTAACCTACTTCTGAAAGCAAGAACCGAATGCTTTCTGGGATATCACCCCAGATCAAACATCAAGCCCTCCAGGCTTCTTCATAAAATATGTGGCTGATTCCAGATTGTGAAATTGTGTTAGGGTTTATTTTTCCTTAGATAAATTTTTTGTTCTGTTTGTGTTGAAAGTTCACATTCCAGGAAATGTTTATACCATCAGTTTGGAAGAAAATGCCAAGTCTGAATAGCGTCAGAGATTTTTTTCCTAGGGACCCAGAAAACTGTTTAGGTACTAATTTCAGTTGCTTCAATACCAGCCAGTAAGGAACAGAATTACACTGTTTTATTAGAATATACAAGACTAATGAGTGTTTTTCTGCCTTTGAGAAATTATCAGTATCAGCGATGTATTTGTTAATAGGCGTGACTCAAAGTGAATCAAGAGGTGCTAAATAACTAGGGATACAGAAAAGCTTTGCCCAATCAAATTCATGTCATACCCTCTTACTATTTATTCAGTAAGTGCAAGATGAGATTTCACAGAGTTCTGTTCTTATTGAAGGTTAGAAGAAGAGAGGAGAAAGGGCCTTTAGTGGTGCAAGGAGACACTGAAGAGTTCCTGTAGTGACTCATGTGAGCTAGACCAGTGCAAGCAACCTTCTCAGATCTCCTCAGAAACCCTGGTAAGGACTCAGCCACAGCAGTAACACACAAAGTCTCTAGCTGCTACAGAAAACAGTTCTCAATTGTCCTAATAAAACCTATAAATCATGAGTTACTTCATACTTGCACCTTAGACTGAGTTAGGAGATAATGCTGCTTTTCGTGGAGCTGCAGCCTCATTTCACTTTAAACACAATCGTTTTTACTTGAGGAAGTCTTCAGTATATATTTACTGCTAGAGATTAAGCCTGCATGAGATTATTATCCCTCTTCATTGGATTATTCAGAGGGACATTGATTGCCTACATTAATCTGATAAAAGAGTTTAAATTCAGTTTATGAGCGTATTTTGAATAAAAAAATCCTAATCCATACTGAAGCAAAAGTGGTTTAGTGTAGCAGTTTGTACGTAAGCACTGTATCTTTACAGTGGAAGATATCTTTGATCCAGCATAAGGTATGAAAGCGTATAAATGAAAGTTGAGAACCTACACAAAAATTTGAGATTGACATAACAAGGGTGACGCTAGCAATTTTTTCCAGATTGTTTTCCTTAAGCTCATTTTTTTCTTTTGAAGTTTATGTATGTCGTGGTTTAACCCGGCTGGCAACTCAGCACCACCCAGCCGCTCGCTCACTCCCCCCCCTCCCTCAGTGGGATGGGGGAGAGAATCGGAAAGAAAATAAAAGGTTAGAGCCGAGGGCTGAGATAAAGACAGTTTAATAAGAGAAAATAATAATAATAGTAATAATGAGAATGATAACAGAATATACAGAATATACAAAACGAATGAGGCACAAGGCAATTGCTCACCACCCGCCGACCGATGCCCAGCCCGTCCCGAGCCGCAAGCAGTCCCCGAGCCGCAAGCAGTCCCCGAGCCGTCTCCCCGCGACCGACCAACCGAACTAACCCCCCCCCAAGCATGACGTTCTATGGTATGGAATAGCTCTTTGGTCAGTTTGGGTTAGCTGTGCTAGCTGTGCTGTACTCCCAGCTTGTTATGCACCTGGGCAAGCAGGAGAAGCTCAAAAAGTTCTTGAGTAGTCTGAGCACTACTTGGCAACAGCTGAAAACATCCGTGTGTTATCAACATTCTTCTGGTACTAAATCCAAACCACAGCACTATGCTAGCTACTATGAAGAAAATTAGCTCTATCCCAGCCGAAACCAGGACAATGTAATACTCAGAACTCTGCCTTAGATTGTTTTTGAAAAGGCTCACGTGAGAACAAGCGGGTTGTCTCAGGCCAAAGGTCTGTCCAGCCTTCCATCCTGTTTCTGTCAGCAGCAAACGACAGATGCTAAGAGAATATGGCACACATAGTAATGTATCACCTGAATATTCTTCCAGCATCTCCTCATCTGTAGCTTAGGTGTTTCCTGAGCCTCAAAGTGTTTTATGCTTAACAGCCCTCAATTTTTTATTCAGGAATTTATCTTAATTCTTTCTTGAGCTTTTAGTATTCATAACCTGTAGCAGCAAGGAGTTCCACAGCTTAATTGCATGTTGGGGGAAGAAAATGCTTCCTCTCATTTTGATTCCATCTCCTACTAGTTTCAGTGTAACAACATGGTCAACGAAGTGAACTGAAGAAAAATTTGAGTTAAACTAGAACTTAAGGGATCAAATTTATTTTGAGGAAATTATTTCATCAACTCCTCCCCCAAACATCTCATGACAAGTAAAATACAACTAAGTTGGTTTAAACCTGATCTAGACAAAATTGCCATCTACTTGTCATGTAGAATTAGAAAAGATTGACATTAAACAGAAAAGCACATAACACTTCGAACAACCCAGTCTACCAACATTCTAAGTTACAGAAAAGCAGTGGCACTGGGAGTCTTGGCAAGTATTGAGGAATTTTCCACACTGCATTCCTCAAAGCAGGTTCTATACATATCTCAAAGCCTATCCTTAAAATAAATGGCGTTTAGGTTATTACAAAACCTCTCTTGTAATAAAAATGACATGTGAGAGTTCTTCACTTCCTATTGATCAGGATAATTAAGTCATGGTTAGCAAGACAGCGGTGTGCTCTGGAGATAGGAAGCTTGCCAATTGCACTGTTTCAGTTTAGTTACCCACTAAGCTTGGGTGCCTCATAACAAAATGGCTTGTTAGTCTCGAAAAAAGGCAACAATTTCATCTTACGCATGACTAGGTTTTTCCCTAGCATGCGTGAAGTGTAATTCTGAACATGGAATGTATGACCAAAACACTATCCCACACAGTGTTTTTGGTTTGTGGGTTTTTTTTAAATAAACTTACGTTTTAAAGCATGGGTCTCCAGACATTAGCTGCATGTTGATCAAAACCTACACATTAAGAAAACAAAACCCACTGTAAGAAAAAAAATTGAATTGGCCTGTGACACAAGGTCATGTTACTAAGTTACACTTGCCACAAATCCTATGTTTAAGTAAAATAAAATGGCATCATCACATACACAAATAAACACACATGCAAAAGATTACATCCTTTTCCTTAGTACACCTGCAAACACCACAAAGTAGCATTTAAAGTAACAGCTGCATGTACAAGACTCTGCAAAAGATGCATAGATCAAGAAGAATCGTAGAGTCATTGATAGTTAAGATGGCTTCAAGGGAAAAAGAGAGAGCAAGTCTACAGGATTAATGAGCACACAACATAGTTAAAACAGTGGGTGCTGAAGTGTGTTCTTTGCTGAGGGTTTAGTGAGCTGCTAGCATAGGAGAACTGGTTGTGCCAACATCAGAGATGAAGTAAAACCACAGAAGGTAAGCAATGCCATAGGGCAACAATACGCTGAGAAGGCTCGTTAGCTGGGTCAACGCCATCAACTAAAAGTTTTCTGGAAAACATCTACGACCATCTTAAAAGAAATCAGGAAGTGCATGCTTAAAGGGTACACTCAATAGCATGAGGAATTAATTCTGGTGTCCTGGTAGGAAAAGACATTTTTTAAAATGTACTTGTTACATTCTGTATGTAATTATTTTCAAGTTAATGCAGCTTATTCAAATTTTTAAACTCCCAGGACTAATGGGAGAGAATGGCAGGGTGGGTTTCTTCCCACAATGCTCACCAATTGTTGCATTGATTACTATCAAATCAAAAAGGAAAGTTCAGGAGTCATGGAGGTGTTGAAGCTGGCTTACACAAAAAAAGCCAATTAAGAGATTCACTCTTAAAAAAGCTGCACAGGAAGTTGCTCAGTCTTAAATACACAATTGCTACATTTATATGAATGTATTCATTTTTTCCCTATTCCATTTTTCAATTCCTGTTAGAATAGGAATACTTTTTGAAAGCTTTTTTCTTTTTTTTTTTAACAGCTATCCAGCTCCATTGCAAAGAGTAGGACAAATTTGATTTTTGACTGCATGGATTTTAATGATTCTCTGTAAACAATGCTGAGGTTTTACTTTAAATAGTTTTCCTTCTAAAAAGAGGTTCAGCAAATTTCATCCAGTGCTTAATAATACCACTTGTTCTCTACTTTATTAGTCAAGTATGATAAAGGAAAAAAATTACTTTGAGAATGGAGTTATCCTGTCTTGTATTTTTGGTATCATAACCTTCCAGTAAACAGCGACGAGTGGTATTTCCCGATCCAGCAAACTCTGCTAGATTTAGATCTGCAAATCCCAGCTGTTGAGAGAAAACAACAGTCAGTGGTAAGCATATTACTGAATGAAGGTACTGGCTACATGCACGGTATTGAGTGCCTCTCAACAGCCCTTTCACCCAAATATGAATAAAAGGATGGGCCGCTCCCTTTAATGGACAAGGTGAAAAGCAGAAAACAAACTTTGGCTGTCAAACTCTGCACTGCTCTACTTTCAGTTAAAAATGAAAGTCTCGAGAGAAAAAAGAACAAAGAGACTTATTTTTAAAAGTAAACACATGCAGAAGAGTTTGCATTTATCAACCCTTTCAACATACTAAATTGAAAGAAAAAAAGCATAGTGGTGGTATAATATTATTATATGCTTATTAAACACCGACCGAGAGTTTCAACACCACTGCGTCGCTGTAACGTACGTAATGAAATCATGGGAGTTGGAGTACCATTCTGGAATTACTTCAATAGGGCATAAGATGACAAGAAAGAAAAGCTAATTTGTGGGCAAAATCAGATGCATCTCAATTTACCTTTGCATATGCCTTTCCTCCTTTTAATTCCTAGACAAAAAAGACAAAAATAGATGCCATTAAGCCATTAAAGATACTGACTGGGGTTTTTTGTTTGGTTTGGTTTTTAGAAAAGCAAACACTAATCTTCGTTTTAAAGTGGCTCCACACACGTTTGCTAGGCTATGCTGTTGTCATTTAGAACTTGGTGTTAATAATGTCCTTGGTGCTGGCCAGCAGGAGACTCTCGTCCTGCAGAGCAGGGAAGGGGGAGTGCCTGATGCTGACCAGCATTTGGCTCTTGCAAGGTCTAGCCCCAAAGGTGGGAAGTGCTGCATACAAAATTCTGGTACTTTGCACAGTTCAAGGCTTCTAAATTTACTGCTGTTTGCTAGAAATATCTATCAAGGGCTAACTTCATAAAATCTGATGAGCTATTGCTTTGCTGTCCTGCTGGACCTTTGCTTTGCTGTCCTTCTTTTCAATAAGAACATAAACCCCATTAATTCGTCAAAGTAAGGTGATTAATAAGATTACTGTGAAATTTTGATAGAATAACACCCGACATGGCTGCAGCCAAAATTTGCTTTATGAAGTTTGTCAGACATTTAAAAAT